TATATAAGTATATTATCTTCATTTTATATTAAACTTCACGCAATCCGTAATATTAGTTGACTAAACATTATTATAATACAGAATGCTATATATAAAAAGTTTTTATTAAAATTAATATGTTTTAATATTATTTACAGGAAGACGCAAATCAAATACCGGGTTGGATAAGACATTCTGAAAAAGACAAATGCAGGAATCAATTTCACTATCACAGGCGGCCAGTAACAAGAGTATGTTTATGGCATTGTTTTAAAGTATATATAATAAAATTTAAAACATTTCTTATAATGTGCGTTTTTCTTTTAGAATTCAAATATATTGTCTGCTGTATTATGCTTGGTTAAAGAGTTGGATTATCCAAGTTTGGAAGTGGTAGAAATGGCTGTTAGAAATCGAATGGATGAATTAGAAGAATGATGTTTCTGACACCGTCCCCAAAATCCACAGGGGACGGTCTCTTTCTCTCATATCGGCAGCATGTCTTCTGTTCCCAGCCCAGAATTCTCCGATTCACTTGATTCCACGATAACTTTGAGCCAATATGCCGATAAAGATGGGAATTACAACGATGACGAACACCATATACTTGATCATCAATTACTCGAAGAAAATAAAGATAAATGTCAAATTCGACGAAATGAATGTGCCGAAAAAATTTGCTCAACACATAGCCTGAAAACAGTATCGATTGATCCAAGTCCAAGATTACTCGGAAATAATCAATCCATATATAAAATACAAAATTCCGTATTGGACAATTCGCCATCAAGAAATAACTATGAGAGAAAAAGTAATGATGTAAGACGCGTAGCGAGCAGTGACAGTATTCCTCGTGGTAGTTATAACAATGTCATTTTAAATCAGGGATGTAGAGTTTTAAGCCAAGATTGTATCAGAAGATCAAAAAGTCCTGATGTTAGGAATACAGTTACACCACTTCGTTATATTCAATCGGCAAAAGGAACGTGGACGTATAATTTGTAAATTATACTTAACAATTTGACAAAATTATTCTTAAAATAATAATCTAAATTTTCTGTAAACGCAATCAGAAATAATCTTGTCGATAAAAACGAAAAAGAAAAGGAAAAAGTAGTAACCGTTAGTAACGGAGATAATACTTTAAGATCAAAGATTGGTCTCATCATGTTATTTCGGGGGAAAAGTTTAAGTGCATATAAAATTTGCAAACATTTGTGATATATTTCTGCAAGGACTGAAGAAATAAGTGTAATTTATCATTATACATTATATGTTGTGTACAAACAAATCTGACGATTGATATATGAGTAACTTTATTTAACAACGTTAAGTTTTTCCAAAGTTTTATTGAGATAAATTTGTTAAATATATATTATAAATATCTGTAACATGTATAAGATACAAATCAAAGATAAATTACATGCTCTATTAAATATTTTCTCAGTAAACAATTTGGAGTTTTTATATAGTGAAAAAAATTATTTGGATCAATGATAAGTTCATTTGAAGATCGATATTTAAAAATAACAATTTTTACGATAAGATAGAATATAAATAAAAAATGAATGTATATACGTAGGTGATTTTGTACACAGAGAGTATTCTATAAAAACTTAAATGTACATTATTTGCATATAATCTCATAATTTATAATCAAAATATCATCTGCATATATCAGTGCGCTTATAAATGTACATACAAAAACGAAAAATTGTATTTCTAAGTATTATTTTCTTGCATTATTTGTTTTTACTTTATTATTTTATTGCGGAGATGTACATTAATTTTTTCAACAATATTACGAAGAAGAAA